ACACCTCATGTACAGTTTTCACACTCAATGATGTCTGGGTTTTCCCAGTTTTCGCAGGCTGGTGGGATAGTCAGTCATACACCTCCAAGGTCCTTATTCTATGGAGGTGCTTCATCGTCATCAGCTCCTCATCAACCTAATTTACCTGCTCAGGACGACGACGACGACGATGACGATGGTGACAACGAGGAGTCAGAACCAGTGATACGAAGAAATCCTCCTCGAGACCGATAGCCACCGCCCTGCGGAACACATTCGCGATGCATGCATCGATAGATTTTTTTATTATATTTGTATTTACTTTATTTTGTTTAATTGTAATTTTTTATTATTTCTCATTTAATACTTACTTTATTTTGTTAAATTTGTTGGACTTTTTTTTAATATATTTCAGTTAATTTTGTTTATTACCATTTAATATCAGTTATTGTAATTTGGTTATCATTTATCATTTAATTCTTATTGTAAGTTTGTTATTAGTTTGATAAAATTTAATGATTGTGTTCGTTTTTTTAATCTTCATCAGCGATTATCGAATGACATTAACTTGAAGTAAATGTAAATTAAAAATACAAGAATTATTATTTGATAAACAAATACATCATTTCCACATCAATTGTTACTTGATGACAACAAAAGTGGACATGTTTTTCTAGTGTGTCATGGGTTTCTACAATGGCCACATCTTCTGCCTTGTCTAGATCTTTCTCGAATATCCATATCGCAATGAATTCGATTGGATTTTAGACGACCACACTCCCTCAATAAACTCGAATTTGGTACAATCGGAAGCCAATCTTGAACCTCATCAGGGTCTTTGTCATTACCTATGGGGGGAAACTCAAATTCGTATACCTTAAAAACTTCATATAGTAGGTATACAGGATCCACAAAATGGTTATAGTCTTGACGTGTATGTAGGGATGGTAAAAAAACTGAACCCGATGGGGAAAATCGAAAACCGAATTAAACGGGAACGGGGGAAAACCGTTTATGTTAAACGGGGATGGGGACGGGGAAGGGTTTAGTAATCCCCACCCCGATACCCGACCCGATAAATATTAAAAATAATTATTATATATATATATATATATATATATATATATATATAATATTAATAAATTTAATTTAATTAAAAAATATATATAATATTTATATATTTAATTTAAATATATATAACTGGCTCGATACCCTGCCCGATACCAGTTTAAATAATCGTTTATGCTAAACGGGGATACCCGTTTCCTCGCGGTTTTCCCTGATTACTCGATGGGGATCCCCGTTTAAATCCTCGCAATTTTTTAAGCGGGGACGAGTATGAATTTTTTAAACGAGGACGGGGACGGGGGGACCAATACCCGGCCCGTTGCCATCCCTACGTGTATGCGAGCAAGCTGCTATCACATGAGAGCATGGATACTTCAGAGCTTGAAAAAACCCGCAGTCGCACGTTTTGTCCCTTAGATTTACTCTTAACGACACAACTTCAATCCCTTGAAGAGGTCGCGGCAACTCTGTGACACGAAACATTTCATGCCTTCTAGAGAAACTTGTTACATACATTCCATTTGATGCATCAAATTTTTTTCTGTAGATCTGCAACTAATCTAGGGTGATAGACATGACCACCTTGCATCCAGGTTTGAACATGTCCCCCGAGCTTTGCAAAAAGCGCCCCCAAACGAAAATATGTAGTTTTTACCAAAGCCGCTACAGGTAAGTGACGTGCACCCTTTAAGGTTGAATTGATTGCCTCAGCCAATTTGGTCATCATGTGTCCATATCGATATCCACCATCATATGCATTCGTCCACATTTCTTTATCGATGAGGCTGATGTAATCGTATCCTTCCTCGTTCTTCGCCCGCAAATCTTGAAGCATTGATTCAAACGTTCGAGGAAGTAGTTCGTAACCTGATCAAAAAATGTATAACTTACTAACTTGCTTTCTTTGCAAAATAAAAATGATAAAAAAATGTATAACTTACTAACTTGCTTTCACTTACCCATGCGCATAATTAATTGACACTCATCATTCTTCTTGTACCTTCCATGATAGTTCGCAGCAATGTGTCGGAGACAATACCTATGCTGGACAAAGGGTGGTTGCCACATTGGACCCAAAGACTCCATTGCTGCTTTGATCCCAGCTCCGTGATCTGAAATGACACAGATTTTTTCCCTCGTGATAATATGTGCACGTAAATTTCAGAGGAAAAAAGCCCAAGAATCTGTATCTTCTCCTTCGACAAGAGCAAAAGCAACTGAAAGAATGTTGCGATTGCCATCTTGGACAACTGTCAATAATAAAACTTGCTTGTATTTTCCATACAAGAAAGTCCCGTCGATCTGGACCACAGGCTTGCAGTATTTGGCAGCATTAACGCATTGTGGGTAACTCCAAAAAACCCTGTAGAATTGACATCGATCGCGAAGAACTCGATCATTATGGTATGCATAGAAGGTTTCGAAGTCCACAATTGTCCCAGGATTCAACGTCTATACCAGCCTAAACCAACCTGGAAGTTCGTTGTAAGATGCATCCCATTCGCCATGAAGTTTGACAATGGCATTTTGTTTTGCCAACCAAGCTTTTTTATAGGAGACGGTGTACCCATATTGCGATTATATAGCTGAAATCAACACTGCAACAGCTATATGAGAGCTTGCTTTTACCATGGGCATGATGGCTTGGCATATCACTTCAGAGTCCAAGTTGGGATGATCTTGGTTAACACCTCCAGCACAACATGTGTGAGGACCGTTGTATACTGTTAGTTCCCATATGTTATTTTTCCTTTTCATTTTCGATACGCGAACCATCCAATTGCATCCGTTTTCGCGTCTGGCACAGTAGCATACATATTTTTCGGTCGTCGATCGGTTGACTCTGGACTGAACAGAATTACAGATATTGTAATTTTTGATAGCCATCATCGTTTCTTCTTTGCTTGATAACTCCATGCCTAAAGATAACTCACCATTATTTATTGATGAGTAATATCCATAGTCACCGAGATGAGGCATATCCGTAAATTCTGGCCCGTACATTGCACCATAATCAGCTTTATACATGTGTGCAGGAGGGTCAGTTTGTGCCACATTTCCTGGAACTTCATCATCATCAGAGTTGAATTGTGGTGATTCTGGGTGAATAAATAGTCCAGTCTCAGCACCATCCGCACCAGGCTCACGAAGCAGTTCTTCTGGTGGAGATGATGGTTCCTCCATGCTCTCTACATTTAGGTCGAAGAACCTACTACTTGCACGCCTTCCCCTTGAACTGGAAGGCATATCGACATTGAGATCGAAAAAGCTCACAGTCGAATGCCTCCCCCTAGAGCTTGAAGCCATTGTTTCAAATGGAAACTGCACAGATGGTTGCGTCGATGGCATCTCCATATGGTCAAAGAAATTTGCAGATGAATGCCTTCCCCTTGAACTGGACGCGGTGTTGCCATACGGATTGTTCGTGGACCCACCTCGGTACATATCGTAAGGAGTTGCAGATAAATGTCTCCCCATTATGGCATTAAAATCATTACACATTACTGTAGTCGGGCTGTTAACTTGATCAACTTGTTCAGCCAGCCCATAGTGTGAGCTTAAAGATTGACCCCGAACAACACGCACTTAAAAAAATGTGCATACATCTCAATATCGGCGTCTGAATAATTACTTTGAGCTTCAACCATCATTTGAACATCATCATTGTTCGAAAGTTCGAACGTTGTATAAGTTAATGGCAACAATGATGTTGGAAATCTGTACTGCAACGACGACATTCTTCTGTTACTTCCAACATGAATCTTCCTCGAAATCTTCGTTATCAGCTTCTCAAGAGTTATGTTTCTCTTGAATGATATTTTAACACGCTCATTTGATACGAAAATAACGCCGGTTTTATCTTCTCGAATTTCACCATCATAATAAACAATATCTGAAAGTCGCGCCATTCTTTGAGTTTAAAAGTGCGGCAATATTATATCTGCAAAAAAATAACTTAAACAAACATGATTAAATAAATTATATATGAACGAAAATATAACACAAATTTTTTTTACACATCAACGTAAATAATTTAAATAATATAATTTTATATTCTTACATGGTCCGCAAAACTATTTCGACATATGCTTCCGCTTTTCAATTTTACAAACATAAAAATTAATTAAAAATAATTAGTATACTATTTTTTCAAATAATGATAATAAACAATAAGTATAATTAAAAAATTATAACAAAATTATCTTATAACGAAAAATCGCACGAACTTCTAAATCAAATATAAGAAGATTGTCAGAATTATTACTCGTTGACGGAATTGTTGTATTAATTTATAAGAGAGGAGAGATGCGAGGAGATGTGGGGAGAGATGCGAGAACCGGATGTATTTATAAACATATAAGGTGTGGTACCTGCACCGCGTTATATGTAATTATTATATAGCGCGGATCAGGGACCGCGTTAAATATAATTTTGGTACGGCGTATAGCGCGACCCCTGATCTGCGCTATACCCCTACATGGCGTATAGCACGGAGCAGGGCACGCGCTATACCCCACGTGTAACCCAGTCAGCGTATAGCGCGATACATGGGGCGCACTATACTCCACGTGGCGTCAAATCAGCATATAGCGCAGTTCAGGGGGCACGCTTTACTGTTACGGGTGTTAGATCGGGAAATATAATCTTACCGATGTTAGATCGATATATATACCGATCACCGGTGATTATTAGAGAAAATCGCCGATATAGACATCACTTCTAATAATATTTCAATTATTTATTAACGGAGTTGATTTGAAATTAACTATTAAATTTAATTACTGATTTAATAATATTATTAATTAATCTTAATAAAGTCAAAGGTATCCGAGTATATGTCAGAATAACATACACTGCCAACTTCAAAATATTTTAACATTGTCTACTAAATATTAAGAAAAATAATTGTCGTTTTTGAATTATTGGGTTGGTTTCAATCGACGAACGCAAGAAATAAAAAAGGAAATGAAGTTTGTGGTTATTGTTACTTAAAAGCCATTGAGCTTGAATTTTGTTCATATCTGTATTCTGTTAGCTTGTTTTCTCTTCCATCTTTAATTCTTCAAGCTCCAACTTTGCCTTTGAAAGTTGATGAAAATGACTACTGTTCTAAAGCAGTTGTTGAAGAGTTTTTGCACCAATTCACCTTGGATATACGCTGTGCTTTGGAAGCTTAGGCACTTGAGTCCCATGTAAGTTTCATCTCTTTTATCTTATTGTTAAGCCGGGACAGTATAAATTTGGAAAGTTATAGAAGATGAATAAAAAATATAAAGAAATTACTTAAACTATACGAGGATTTGAAATTTCAACACCTATTGGTCCATCTTTGCTGGCAAGAAAACACCCAGAGTTTCCCTTTGGATTGCCTGTTGTATAAGTTTCACTATGTTGATCTTCAGGGGGTTGACCTGGGAAGATGAGTATTGTGTTTATCCAATGCCATCAGAGATGATCCCATCACAGTTTGAAGCAAGCATCGACGACTGTTGTTTTGGAGGGTACCAAATTGGCCTACTGCTGACAAATATGTTGAATCTTAAGTATGCATGGGGAGAGGGGTAAAATCTCCATCCTCGTTACTTCTGACACAATAAGATTTTTTCAGATCCACCTGTAACTTTGGATCTCTCCATTTTCCAGGGTTGTTGGTAAAGTGGCATGTACTGGGAAGCATTGCTGGGTTTCGTATGACGATATTTTCACCGGCGAAGCTGACTCGAATTCGTTTTCAGAGGTGAGTTTCTGTTAATGGCAAGTGATGTACTTAAGATAGATGACATACAAGTTAAAGCATTAGAGTGTTGTTGTTTTCCAATTGCTAGTGTCCAGAGGAATGGCTACTTCAGTTTGCATCAGGATTCAAGGTAATATAATCTGCTACTGCACCTTTAATAGCAAGTCCGTTGATATATTCGAGCTATTCGATGTACATGCTTCCATGTGCACACTGCACGCACGTATGCATGTCTTTGATTGATGCAGACTTGATGATAACGTTGATTATTTCCGATGCTACCGCAGAGTATTGTACTGGTACCCGTGCTTCCACATGGAGTTCTTCAACTTGGTTCACTGGAGATGGTATGTATTTGGTCTAATTTTTTCTTATAGATTATAGTAGAATTGCGGATGTTTTGTGAAAATGCAGTATCCATACTAACAGTCGGTGCATCGATTACTTGTGCCTAGTAAATGGATCTTATGTTCTTCCGTTTATTTCTCCACACATCAACAGGTCAATGAAGATTTGTCCATTGTTGCATACATCAAAGATAGATTTGCCTACATTCATGCACAGTTTCCTCCATCATTGCTAATGTCAAGATTTTCCGAGAAGTTAGAAGAGTCTTCAAGCGCATCAGTTAGTCCGCTGAACTCCGAAGATTCAAATACTGTTTTTAGTATTCGGAATGCATTTAAGGTGCCTGGAACGGATCTGCCTGAACTTCTTGAAAGTGAATGCAAAAATATTAGTGTCCCACCAATTAGCCTAAGTGAAGTGTCATCGCCACTAAGCCAATCTATAAGTTCCAGCCAATTAGCAACGCAGGAGACCAAACTACATGGCTCGTCTCGTCTTAAGGAGGAATCGCAAGTGTTTCCTGAATGTAATACTCACGCAGTGGGAGCAAACGAAGAAATCTTCCATGGAATTGAAAATCTTTACCCTGCCAAAGATCCACTGACACCACCTTTTGAAAACTACCATGCAGATGATGCTTGTTACCTTAGCTTCCCCGAAGATTGTGAATTGCACAAAGCACTTGGACCGGCTTTTCGAAGAGACAGCAATGAGTACTTGTGGGAGTCGTCTCTTTTAAGTGAGAAGGTATTGAGTGATCTCTTTGATGGAAATGAACTCCTCTTGTCTGCCAAAGTAGGTGATGCGGAGTATTTGTTGCAAGCAGTAGTAGGCCAAGTATATGATATCGCTAACATATCCGATCATGCCATGACATCTACCACACAACTTCCTTCTCAACCTCAAAGTGTAAAGGACGATCCCACTCCATTGAGAAGACTTACATCTCCGGAATATGTTGGAGTCGATTCTAGTCCTAAAATGACAGCCTCTTCCGAGAGTACAATAAGCATGTTAACTGATAACGATAATCCAGAAAAAGGTTTCGATTACACACGTTCCAGGAAAGGACAAAAGCCGTCCACCGTCAATAAAAGAAAGGCTAGAGCTGGTGATAAGCCAAGGACGAGGCCAAGGGACAGACAGTTGATCCATGATCGGCTTAAGGAGCTGCGAGAACTTGTCCCGAATGGTGCTAAGGTCAGTACTTCCTCAAATGAGTATCAGTTTGCCCTTCTAATATGTTGCTCCCGATATGCCATCAAAATATAACCAATAAACTTCTTGTACAAATTCAGTATAGCATTGATGCTCTCTTGGATCAAACAGTTCACCACATGATGTATTTGACAAGTGTGACAAACCGAGCTGACAAATTGAGGCAATGGGTGTACGGAGAGGTATGTGAAGGCCATGTCATGTTAGAAAGAAGTGTTTGAGATCTGACTTAATGCATTCAAAACTTTGAATCTGTAGGTGACTGCTCGGAAAAATGTGAGATCATCTGAAATAAAAAATGGTTACCACCAAAACCGAACGAGCTGTGGTTTTGAGATACGAGATGAACTGAAAGTATGCCCCATAGTTGTGGAAGATCTTGCACACCAAGGCCACTTGCTCATTGAGGTTCATTCTCCGTAACATAACAAGAGATTACACGTTATAATAGATTTCTGAATCAATTAACAGTCCGCATTCGTTGCAGATGCTTTGCGACGAGCACGGTCTGTTTCTAGAGATTGCTCAGGTGATCCGGAGTTTTAATTTAACGATCCTGAAAGGTGTGATGGAGAGCTCTTCGAACAATACATGGGCTCATTTCGTCGTCGAGGTATCCAATAGTTTTTCGAGTATGCGTCTAGACCATATGGGTATTTACAGTGTGACATTTTCTGAGACTTGATTAACACCGTGTGGCAGGCTTCAAAGGATTTTCATAGACTGCATATTTTCTGGCCTCTGATGCAGCTTTTACAGCGTCAAAGGAATCTGCACAAGGCTTTATAACCAAAAGATGGAGTATTTGTCCGCACAACGTTTGCATGACGGAATGAGACAAAACTAGTGATCATGTATATGCTTGAATGGATAATCTACTCTTAACAAAGGCTGCTGAAATTAGTTTGTACGGTTATCAGTTGGACTGTTATCCAATTGTTGTTAATCTCTTTGAAATTAGTTAGGCCTTTCTGGGTTAGTTACATATCAGACTATATATACCAGCCCATGTATTGGGCTTTAAATACACCCGGGTTCCTGATTTCACTTTATTTTAATAAATGTTCACTCAAGCATATGTAAGTTTCTATTTTCTCCACTAAAGTTTTAAAAATAATGAAACGATTACTGACGTTATCGAAAAGTAACAAAACACTACCATGATACAAACAAGTTGCTGGAAGTCTAACGGAACCCAAGGACAATAAAAATTTAAATTTTTTTTATTTATATCATCTCTAGTTTTATTATTTTACTTGGAATGGAGGATGATCATTCATGCGTTTGTGGAAACAATATTGAATGATGGAATTTAAACCTTTTTTTTTATTAATTTATGGATTTTTGAAGAATTTTTAGAATCTCTACCTTTTCTATTATTGAAATTTCTATTTATTTTTAAAAGTTTTCAATTTTTTATTTTCTTAAAATATCAAATGATAAAATTTGATTAAATTACAACATAATTTTAACAAAAAAAAATGGTGAGGACTAATAATACTGACATAATAAAAGTAGAAGGATTAAACTAAAAAAGGTTGAAAATATGAAAACGAAAACTTCACTAAAATATAGGGATTAAAGTAGATAGTAAGCTTTTTTTTCATTTATAAGAATGAGGGAAAGGATGAATTCTCCGGACTTAACATCCTATACAACTGATGATATAGATACAAATGTGATTTAACTTTCTATAAAATTGTACTTTTTATTTTTAAAAGATTAGATAGGGTAGAAACATGTTTAGAATAATTTTTTTTAACTCGACCCGACATGAGATAATAATATAATGAGTTAAGATCTAATTATATAGTGTAAAACTTTTTAGTTTTTTGCCCTTTTAGGATGTTGGATAAGAGAAATCAAATATTGAGACTAACAATAAGAAATAAGAAGATATTCATTAAAAAATAATTAATTTCAACTTTTGATTTTTTCTCATCTAACGATCTTAAAATTATATAAAACTAAAAGTTTCACACTAAGTGTAAGTAGACTCTAGCCCTGGTACAATTATCTCTTATATATTTATGTATAATTATAATAATATTCACCTCCTTATATATGTGTATCAATTATATTCTTAATTTATCGAATAAAAATAAAAAATTCATATATATTTATATTGGGTCAAATTTAATCGAATATAAACTTTTACCTTAATCTCTTTAAATTTAGATTGGATTAGCTTAGACTATGTAATTGTCTAGAATACTTAATTAAGCGTGTTAACAGAAGATTGAAAATTGCTAATCATTTTTATTGTTTTGGATGGTCAAATACGCAAGGGTCTTCTTGACTATCTATCCAATACTCAAATAGTAATGAAGTCATTGTTGCACAGAATGGTCAGTCCAACTCAAAGTCCACACTGAGAAACGAAACTAAAAAGCAACGAAGTTCCGGTTAATACCGAGTCAATTTATTGATTCAGGATAATTTCATTCAATTGATTTTTGGATTGACTATGAAAGTTGGTTAAAATATGTTTAATCCATTTTAAATCCATAATCAAATCAGTTAATTATAAATATATTTAAAAATTGACTTGATTTTATATTAAAGATGTGATTTTTGTGTGACCTTATATTAGAAATAAAAGGGTATAAAATTATAAATTTTTAAGATTATAAAATAGGGATGGGCGAGTGGTTTTTTTTTTTAAAAATCGGGTTTGGGTTAGATCGGGTCGGGTTTTTTAAATGTGATGTTTGGGTCGGGTCAGGTTTAGGGTTAAAAAATACCTACCCTACCCGAAAAAATAATTTTACTTTATATATTTAGGAATAATTACAATAATATTTCTCTATATATTATTTTTTCAATTAAGTCACTGTTTTTATTGAATAAAAATAATATTTTTATTATTATTTCGAGTCGGATCGGATGAAATCTTGTTTCGGTCTGGTCGGGTCGGGTTTCGGGTGGAGGATTCCTTGTTCTCAAGTAGGATCGAGTGGACCAAAAACCCGATCCATACCCATCCCTAGTATAAAATTAGATCATTAATAGAGTAACAAATATAAAAATAAAATCTAAATTATATAAGAATTTAAAATTTCTAAGTCAATTTATTTTTTAGTTACCTATTCTTTTGTTTATAAGTTAATTATTTTTTAATTGAACTTACCATATGAGGAAACAATGTGGTAAGCAGTTGACTTTGATTAAAAATAGAGAAAATAACCTTAGTGACTGAAAATATCTTATAATATACGATTTTAATTAACTTTTTTTGGATTTGCCAAATGACCAATAAAATCGCAACGCGATCTTAAATTCGCATCGCGAACTTCAACTTCGCAACTCAGTTTCCAAATTCGCGTTGCAATTTTCCATTTCGCGTTGTGATAGTCCAAATTTGCATTGCGATATCGCAACGCGATCTTAAATTTGCAACTCAGTTTCTAAATTCGCGTTGCGATAGTCCAAAATCGCATTGCGATTTTTCATTTCGCGTTGCGATAGTCCAAAATCGCATTGCGATTTTCCATTTCGCGTTGCGATAGTGCAAAATCGCATGGCGATTTTTCATTTCGCGTTGCGATAGTCCAAATTCGCATTGCAATTTTCTATTTCGCGTTGCGATAGTCCAAAATCGCATTGCGATTTTCCATTTCTCGTTGCGATAGTCTTGCTCTTGCATTTATATTCAATGCATGCAACTTACAATGCTCAATCCCACATTGTATTGGAAACACTATTGGGAATGAGTATTTAAGGCTTGAATTTCCCACTTCCTTGTTGAGTGAAAGAGAACAATGGGGACTCTCGCGCGCCGCTGCCGCCGTCTCGTCTCGTGGTCGTGGTAATACGTGTATTTGACACGTCCGCGCGGATACCATCTTTTTAGAGAAAATTCTTAAGAAACAAATGCAATGGAAAATCGCAATGCGATTTTGGACTATCGCAACAGAAAATGGAAAATCGCAATACGAATTTGGACTATCGCAAATGCGAATTTGGACTATCGGCAACGCAAAATGGAAAATCGCAATGCGAATTTGGACTATCGTAACACGAATTTGGAAACTGAGTTGCGAATTTAAGATCGCAATGCGAATTTGGACTATCGCAACGCGAAATGGAAAATCGTAACGCGAATTTGGACTATCGCAACGCGAATTTGGAAACTGAGTTGCGAAGTTAGAGTTCGCGTTGCGATTTTGTTGGTATTTTGGCAAATCCAAAAAAAGTTGATTAAAATCGTATATTATAAGACATTTTCGGTCACTAAGGTTATTTTCTCTTCCGAAAGTACATTAATTAATTAATGAATAGAAGGATCAATCAATCTACCGAACGCGGAAATGATATTTTTTTACTGCCCGCAAACCCCGAAGTGTCATCAAATACATGGTTTTCAGAACTGGATCGGTTAGCGAACCGGTCATGCTACCGATTCACCGGTCGCACCGGTCGAACCGGTCCGACCGATCGGAAGAACCGAACGACGTCATAATTATTTAAAAAATTAAATAAAAATACCAAAAATATTTAATAATAAAAATAATTTTTTTATATCACAAAACATATTCAAAGCAAGTCATAACATATATAAGTTAAAAACCATAAAATCAAATGAAACAAAATGATTCAAATTAACTACAACATAATATTTAAGGTAAAACATATTAAATAATAAATATAATTATATAACTATAATTAAAAAATAAATTTGGAGTTAAAAAAATTATAACAAAATGATATTGTTTGGTTTAATTTTTTTTTAAAAATAATCTCACATGGCTAAGAAACATATAAGAGCATCCCAAAAGTCTAAAGAGAAAATATGAGAACAAAACAATCTCACATTGCTAAGAAACATAGAAGAGCATCACAACTAACTTCTATAAATAATAGAGGTAATTTGACATTCAAAATCATGGAGCCTTTTGGTGAGCATTGAGTGAACTATTCTTTCACTTCAATCAAGCTCGAATTTTAGGCTTCAATCGAGCTTCTAAATTTTTTTTGAGTTCAAGTTTCAATATTATATTTCGAGTTTGAGTTGAATTTGATAATTTTTAGCTTGTGAGTTTGAGTTGAGTTGAGCTTACTTTTAAAGTTTTCAAGTTCGAGTCGAGCTCAGCAATACTCGAGTTCGACTTGGCTCGTTTGACAAACGACGTTGTTTGGTTTAATTTAAAAAAAAAAAACAAAAATCCCGGTTTTCAGCCAGTCCGGTTCGAACGGTTCAACGGTTCTGGCCGATTCACTAATAGCGGTTCAACCGGTTTAGATTGAACCGGACTAAGCAACGATTCCCGATTGAACCGATTGAACCGACCGATCCGGTCCGATTTTCAAAACAGAGATCAAATAACAAAGCCCATGTCTTTCAACTACGGAAGGTTGTGCCTCAAATTGTCCCTACGTAATACGGCAATATGAACATATATTTAATTATAGGGTAACTTTTACCATTATTCATCAAACTATTGTTCTTTCTATTATGGTCATTGAACTATCTTTTTTTTAAAGCATAATTAGTATTTTATTTATTATTTATTATTAGAAAATTAGCGATAATATCGATATGATATTCTTTCTCAAATTTTTATTTTATTTTTTCTCTGTTCGTCGGGAATTCATGTGTTATTTTTAATATATTTTTAAAATATTTGTTAATAATTATATAATTTAGTTTCATAGTTAACACTGGATCCCTTTTACAATGATCCTCAGTTCGATTTATCCTAATTGCATTTTAACATAACTCTAATGTGATGATATGATATAACTCAAATATAAATTTTGATAAAATTTTGGTTTAACTCAGTGGTTGGACGTTAGACCTCGGGACCATGGTTTGAACCCCCTCCTCACCGTTCAAAATAAACATCATCGTATTTATCAAATAAAATTAAAGAAAATCTAAACAGTGTTAGTGATTAAAATAAAAGATAAAAATAATATTAGTGTTTTTTTATACAAAAATAATTCTGTAACTAAAATAAAAATAATAGATTAATAAGTAATGGTGTAATTTACCCTTAATGATGATATAA